TGACCGGGAATCACACCCACAACCTTTTGGTGTACAGCATGACACTCCAACTGAGCCACCCAGCCACGGCCACAGAATTACTTTCATAATTCATTTCTACACTACAAATTGTTCACTTTGGAAAGCATAACTCAATTAACTTGCTTGACAGTACAAAAGCATTCTTACTGCAAAAAAAGCTTTATGGTTGTACACTTTCTACTGCAATGATCCAACTAAATATAAAAATAGACTTTCCAAGCCTATAGTCAAAAAACATCAACAAACAGCCCTGGCTGGTGTGGCTCAGCAGACTGAGTGTCAGCCTCTGAACCAAAAGATTGCAGGCTCCATTTCTGGTCAGAGCACATGCCTGGGTTGCAGGTACGTCAGAGGTACCCAATCCATGTTTCTCTCCCTTTCTTCCCCTCCCTTCCCCTCTCTGGAAATAAGATCTTTAAAAAAAAAAAAGACAGGTACACTCATTTATAACTCCTCAAAGTTTATCTCAAATCCGCCCACACATCTCCCCCCCTGCTACCGCACTAATGGACAGCTAATGAAGAGCAATGTCCACACCCACATGGACTGAATATCACACTAGCCTCCTACTCATCACCCTGCTTCTTCTCGCTCCTGTCTCACATAAATCCTTGCTCCACCAAAAAGTTCATCATATTTAAGATGGTAGATCATCCCACAGCACCTAAATAAAAGCCCATCATTCACAAAGCTTCGCCACACTCTAGTCTGCCCTGCTTAACTCCTCTCCACATTCATCTCCCACCAGCCTCTCCAGTGGCTCAAGAGAGGCTGTCGCCCTCTGAGTCTGTCATCTGTCAGGTCAGCCAAGCTCTTCCTGCTGCAGCAGGTGTTCCTCACCTGCTGTCCTTCTGCCCAGGACAGCTCTTCTTCAGGCCCCTCACTGCCATGATACCGCCATGATAAATTCCTACTCATCCCCCAGCTGTCAGCCTAAATGACACTTTTCATTGGATTTATTGAGGTGGCACTGGTAACTAAAATTACCTACATGTCAGGTGTACAATTCTACAATACACCATCTGTGTATTGTACTGTGTTCACCGCCACCAGTCACGTCTCCTTCCATCACCTTTTACCGGCCCCCCCACCCTCTTCTACCTCCTCCCACCCCATTCCCTCTGATAATCACCAGATGTCTGTTTGTAAGTTGGGCTGAGGGTTTTTTTTGTTTTGTTTTTGCCCAATCCCTTCACCTTTTTCACCCAGCCCTGCAATACCCCTCCCCTCTGACAGCTGCCAGTCTGTTCTCCATGAGTCTGTTTCTATTCTGTTGGTTTATTTTGTTCATTGGATTCCACACATGGGTGAAACCATACAGTATTCGTCTTTCCCTGACTAGCTTACTTCACTTAGCATAATGCTCTTCATCATGCTGTCACCCGAGGTAAGATTTCCTTCTTTTTTATGGCTGAGTAGTGTTCCATTGTGTAAGTGTACCACAGCTTTTTTATCTACTCTTCTACTGACTGAGTCTTGGGCTGCTTCCAAATCTTAACTATTGTGATTAATGCTACAGGGAACATAGGGGTGCATAAATGGCACTTTTTAAAAAGATTCTATTTATTTTCAGAGCAGAGGGGGAGGGAGGGGGAAGAGAGAATGAGAAACATCAACGTGGGAGAGAATCATCAACCAGGTGGTTGCCTCTCGTATGCACTGGAGACTGAACCCGCAACCCAGACGTGTACTAACTGGGAATGAAACCCATGACCTCTCACTTTGTGGGCCAACACCCAACCAAGCCACACCAGTCAGGGCAATAAATAAAATCTTAAGGAAAAAAAAAGCACCTTCCATCTCCACCCCACACACAACTTAAATTAGGCCCCTGTGTTGTCGTGCCTCCACTTTCCCACCGGGGCCTTCCCCCCAGTTGGCATTCACATATGTGTTTGTTTAGTATCTGGCTTTTCCTCTTAGCCATGTCCGTGATTAGGTGATCTTGTTTATTCAACATCAGGGCACTTCCAGTGGTTAGCACAATGGCTGGCATATTTGCTAACATAAAAGAAACCTAAATTTGGTGGAAAAGCAAGTGTCTCTTCTGGGTAAGAATCAATTAGCTCCTCAAAAACTGAATCCAGCCCCAGCTGGTGTGACTCAGTGGACTGAGTGCCAGCCTGTGAACCAAAGGGTTGCCAGTTCTATTCCTAATGAGGGCATATGCCTAAGTTGTGGGCCAGGTCTCCACAAGGGGATGCTCAAGAGTCAACCACACATTGATGTTTCTCTTCTTCTTTCTCCCTCCCTTCCCCTCTCTCTAAAAAATAAATAAATACAATCTTAAAGAAATGAAGTACTCCCATCATAGCCAACCCTTGGAACCTACTCCATTCTCACAGTAAAACAAACATACATCACACAGTCTCTATCTATCTGAGGTATGAAACCACTGTTCCATATTTTAATGTTACTATTTCAACCTCTGTGGGTTTGAAAATTTTCAAAATAAAAGGTTGGGGAAATGTTAAAAATGGTGGTATACAGCCTATTTTATCAGTTATCAAAAATAAAAATATTTAAACCACACACACAAAAAAAAACACTGTTCCATAACCACTACAAAAGATCAACCTTTCTCACTCTCATATTACTTAGCTAGATGGACTCCACCACAGGAATCTCAGCTAATAAAAATCAGTTCAAAAAATTATTTGGCCCTGGCTGCTGTGGCTCAGTTGGTTGGAACATCAGCCTATAAACCAAAGGTCCCAGGTTCGATCCCTGGTCAGGGATCATATGAGAAGGCAACCAATCATGTTTCTCTCTCACTGATGTTCCCTTCCTTCCCTCTCTGAAAGCAATGAAAATTGTCCTCTGCTGAGAATATTTAAAAAAAAAAAATTATTTGGGTATATGGCATCCTTATAAATTCCTGAAGAATATAAAAGAAAATATAAGGAAAACACACAAGAAAACATACAAGTTAATATATCACTTAAAAAATTTAAAAAGCATTTTCTTATCACAATTACATAGTGTATCTGGTCACTTAGTCTGTGAGGCATATTTAGTTGTGAAATGGAAACATTAAGTTTTTTTTCCTTAAAGAAAGCAGTTTTAAATAATGGAATTTATGTCAAAATTGTGGCAATTGCTGTCTGTCTTAAAAAAAATTTAGAGCCTAAGGTAACAGCCTAAAGGAAAGGACAGGAACACTGTTCGCTCCAGTATCTGGCATTCTCTTCCCTCTGGCGGAGTCTATTCAACTCTAGGCAGGAAAACACCCAGATGTTCCATGACCAACTCAAGCACTCCAGCTCTTTACCAATGAAGAAAACTAGGACCCAGAGAGGAAGACAGCATCAAATAGGAAATTAATGCTTAAATACTTAAAAACAAACTTTAATGCTTAAAAAAAAACCTTCAATATATAATACACTTCCCCGGGAATACAAATCAGAACATACCCATTGTTAAAAACTATAAAAATAGCCAGGGGCAGGAGGAATAGAATATATTCTAACAAGTAGAGCTTTTCTTTGCAGAGTGATGAAAATCTTTTAAAATTGTTATACAAATTTGTGACTACACAAAATCAATCTAACTGCACACTTTAAATTACATCTCAATAAAGTTGTTTAAAAACAAAATCACCTAGGGCCATCAAAGTTCATTTTGGGATCTGGAGTGGGTTTTTAGGGGAAGCCACCTGGGTTAGCTCTAAAATAAGGGGCAGAAATTTGATAAGTGGAAGGGAGATGTTGTGATCCTTCTAAGCAGCAAAGATCAGGCTAGTAGAAGGGATACTAGTTTGACTAGCAATGAAGTGTGACAAAAGTCAGGTGAAAACTGCACTTTAGAACAGATGCCGGTGAATCGCCATGCTGAGAACCTAGCAAATAGTATAAAGCTTCAAATATTTTGTTCAAGAGGAAGACAGTGGACTGAAAGGTTTCTCTATGTACTCAAAAAGTAGATTATTTTACTCTAACCAAGTAAAGACCTGGGTGAGTCATGATTTTTTAGAACTGTGTCTGTACCGGTCCCATAATTTACTACAGGTTCTAGAAGTCAAAGTGAGCCCCTGAGTCATTCATTAACTGTGGCCTAGTCCTGGGCCGGGTACTCAGAGGGCAATCTTAGGTTGCAGTTCATCGCTGATAAGGCACATACAAGAATCAACCAATGAATGTATGAATCAGTGGAACAAACAAATCTATGTTTCTGTTTCCCTCCTTCCTCTCTCCCTCCCTCTCAAAAGTATGTATGTAAGTAAATAAATAAATAGACAGCAATTGCAGTCCACACCCCAGTTGGAATGTATTACTGTGTAAGTGGATGCGCACAGAATAGCAGAGAATGACCCAACATAGTTCAATATACTGAAAGAATGTGAGAAAAGAAAGTGAATGCAAAGGTACCGACACAGCATCGATTTTATTAAGTCCTTTCCCGGCATCTGTTATACCACCACTCCAACCTAAGAACCCTGGTCCACCCGCAGCCGAGACTCAGGTTCTCCTGCTCCCCAGCTTCCGGGCGCCGCCCCGCCCCCACTCACGTGGGACTCCGGTCGCTTCACGTCCATGCCGCCGGCAGACGACAGAACCCGTTCAACTTTTAAGTGCCTGCTGTGTGCAAAGCTACGAACTCTGTGTTAAGTTCAAGAAACGTCAGTATGCCCTGTGCCTGATCTGTGCCTGCTGAAAGAGGATCTCGGTCCACCCTACATCCCAGGCCTGCCTTCCCTCCAGTTCCCACCCCGGCTCTCCGCTGGTCCGAGTACCCAGCTCACAGCCTTCCCTTTACCCGCGAGCCACCGGCAAAAAGCCTCACTCCTGGCGCAGACCCACACGGCAAGTCGTGACAATTAGTAACCTGGCTCCCAGCCGGGGTCCCCTATCCCCCGAGCCTTCGGCTCGGAACGGAGATGACTCCCCGGCTCGTGTTCCCCAGCCGCGAGGGTCGCAGACCCGAGCAATTGGTACCTCCCCAACCCCCCAGCTCACGCGGCCGGCCTGGCCCACACTTACGGCGTGCAGCGATCGCTGTACTCATTAGCTATGGTCTCGATGCCGCCGGCGCGTGCCACAGCAACGTAGCAGCTCTGGAAGCCGAGGTCTATGCCTACCACCGACATGGCGCCAGCTAAAGCTCGGGCTCGAGCCCGGGTCCGGCCGGCGAAACAAGACACAGACCCCGGTGGGGTTGGAGCGCGGAGAGCGGGCCGCGTAGGCCAGGGAACCGGTGCTAGTGGGGACGTGGGAGTGCCCACGCGAGGGCCTAGGGCCTCTTAAATGGATCCGCTGCAGAGCGTGCTGCCCAGGCCGGCTCCGGCAGAGCGGCCACAGTGGAGGAGCCGGGTAGCGGGGGCGGAGAAGATCTCGAAAGATCTCGTTGCGACGAGAATGAAGCTGCGGAGCGAGAACTGCGAAGGAAAGAAATGTTCTCGCGAGACCTCGGCTCAAACGTTTTTCCTTTTGAGGTCCCGCCCTCCAGTTACGTACACGCGTACGTCATGTCCAGGCAAGAGAACCTTGGAAGGTGGAAAATGGTTGAGAGGCGGAGCTAACCAACTGAACCTGCGCACGGAATCTGCCGCAGCTGCTTTTCATGAGGGCAAAGAGCAATAGAACGCCTCTACTTCCAAAAGAAAGGAGAGTGGGTAGCCGGCTTGGAAGCAAAGTAGTGAGGAAGTGCCGTTGGCCTACTTCCGCCGTTTTTCTGTATGTCAAAAGAAACTTCCGGTGGTGGTACCTCCTGCGCCTCAGCCTGTTTTGGGACCCGAAAATGGGAGCGAGGTTGGCCCGTTGAGGCTAGAGCAGCTGTAAGAACATGGCCCGGAGTAGGGCTTTAAGTCGAGCAATATCAAAGTTAAAGACAGCGCCCTCCCCGGCAGAGGGAAGGAATCCACTCAATCCCACCGCCGTGTGTGTGTGTGTGTGTGTGTGTGTGTGTGTGTGTGTGTGTGTGTGTGTGTTTTCCTTTCAGCATTTCAAGGTTCTCTAAATCACTCCCGTCCTTAGATAAAACTGAGGGGTCTACAAGACTTAAACCTTTTAACCCCTAATATGTTCCAAGTACCTGTCCTGAACTGGTTGCAAGAGACATAGATGATGAGCAACCAGCCAGTGAAGTGGTAGGATTACACGAAGCTAATGAATTTTTTTTAACGTTGTAGTGTGTCTTCCAATCCCCAGCTACTAAGCAAGCGGGGAATGGAACGGGTACCTCTGCCAGGCTTGCTTTCCCTCCAGATTTCAAAGCTGGCAGAATATTACCCACTCTCCAGACCGTGATCCTGGGAAGTTGAAACTAATGAATCTTAACTTATGATGCACCTGGGAGAGCAGGGTGTGGCTTAGAGTTACAGTGTTCCAGGTGCCTAGGGGAAGCCAGCTTGCTATTAGGAAGCAATTCTGTGTAATAAACAAATCTGATAAATTGCTTAATGAGGTTTCAGAAGAAGGGGAATCTGAATCACCAAGTCTTCAGTAATTTGTTGTAATTTCTTGTTCTAAATATTTTCTTTGTGATTCTTTTAAGGGCCCCCAACACACAAAGTTGTATTTTTTAAAGATTTTATTTATTTATTTTTAGAGAGAGGGGAAAAAAGGAGAAAAACATCAATGTGTGGTTGTTGCTCACGGTGTCCCCCACTGGGAACGTGGCCCACAACCCAGGCATGTGCTCTTGAAACTGGAAAAGACACTGGAGTTCGGGCTGCCTGTCACTACCAAACCCAATAAGCAGAGACAGGGATTGAATCTTTAAAGGGCGCTTTATTCAGGTGGCCGGCAATCTGAGAAGATGGCGGGTTCATGCCCTCACAGGCCATCTTGTCTTTTCTTTCCAGGCCAATGTTTTTAAAGCAGGGAATAAACAAGGTGGGTGAGGGGTTTTGAAATTCTGGGAAATGTTAATTAGATTAAGAAAGGACGTCAGCATTCTGTCTTAGGCGGTGGTCATCTCACCCTGGAGCAAAATGGCTCAGATATCATCTTGAGTTGCTTGTGGTTCGCCTGAGGAACAAGGTGGAACTGCTTATGGTCTCCTGGAATCAGGGTGGGTCATACCTTCAGTTCCTGGAATAAAAGCTTTTACATGCATTGATTACTAAGCTTATTAGCTATTACTTAAACTAAAAATTTCCAACCCTTAGGTCGGCTATCACCCTGACTGGAAATCAAACCAGCAACCCTTTGGTTCGCAGCCCATGCTCAATCCACTGACCTATACTGGCCAGGGCCAAAGTTGTATTTTTTTATAAGTTAGGTTGACTTTAACCTTCCTGTTTTTCTCCTACCTAAAGGGATATCAATAACAACAAGGAAAGTATTGACCTTAGTTATGACAGTCTGTATCCATTAGTCTGCTCTGGGTTATTCAACACTGAGCAGAGGTCAGGCGCCCTAGCTGCAGTGCCTAATCCTCCTAAAAGATCACTAAGTGGCTTACAGGCTCTGTCTCTGCCTGCCTTCTTGTGGGAGGCCTCCCCAGCCTTTAGCTAAACTGGCAAAAAGTACACCGATATCTCTTTATGTTCCAGTTTCATATCCACTTGCCATAATTGCCTTGGCACAGCTTTCAGTTTAAAATACCATCAACCCTATCAATCTTTTTAAGGATTTGTCCTTCTCAAAATAAAACATTAACATCAGTCACAGAGAGTACTCATCCTGCTATAAATAGTTTCCTGGATGTCAAACTTATAGCTTGGGAGGCTATTCCGGGGTATTTAAATAAATGAAGTCAGAAAAAAGTTATTTAAGAATTCTGAAGAATCTTTACAACAAGTTTCCAAGAATCACAACTGTGAAGCAACGAAGTTGCCAGAGTAATGAGGGAGGCACTGTGGCTGAAGCACAAGTTCTTTCCATTCAGCAGAGTTATTCCAAGTACATAAGAAGAAGGAGGTTGTTAAACACCTTTCTCTGGTACAATGGTTAAAATCAGTTCCAAGCAATCCAGAAGGTGTATGAAGGTGTTTGTTTGTTTGTTTGTTTTAAAAACTCAGTATTCATAGGCTGCTCACCATGAAACAGAAGGTGCCCAGATGACAATTGATAATCATCCCTGCCAAGTGGTCTGTGGAATATTGTCTCACACTCTGGAGCAGCTTCTGCAGGTCTTTTCTTCAGGGGGAAGCTAAATGTTCCGATAATGGTGTTTCCTGGTCTCCCAGATGTCAAAGTGAGTGGACCGGTGCCCTCAGTCAAGCCAGCACCCCTACCTTACCCTCTAAAACTCTAATCGTTCATTGCTTCTCTGCCTCTTGGCTAAGATCAAGTGTAGTATCTGTTCTTATCAGTTTAAAGCTCTAATCACTCAATAATTACCATATCCTACCTCCCTAGCCTTCAGCTAAGCTAGCAAAAAGCAGACCCATATCTCTTTATGTTCCAATTTCTTATCTACAGTATGTGCTATAGACATGCAGACATTGTGCTGAGAGATGTAGAAGCCATAATTCATTTAATCTCCATAGCAAACCCATTGGGTAGGCATTTTCCAATGTTATAGATGAAAATACTGGGACTTCTTTTTTTTTAAGATTTTATTTATTTATTTTTAGAGAGGGGAGGGAGATAGAGAGAGAGAGATAAACATCAATGTGTGGTTGCTGGGGGTTATAGCCTGCAACCCAGGCATGTACCCTGGCTGGGAATCGAACCTGCGACACTTTGGTTCGCAGCCCAAGCTCAATCCACTGAGCTACGCCAGCCAGGGCTTATACTGGGACTTCTTGAGGTTGAGGAAACTGTTCAAGGTCACACAGCTTTTAAAGCTCTGACTTCAACGTGAGTTTCCTACAACTACACCACTGCTGTTTTTAAATTCATATTCCTTATAGAGGTTCATTAAAGTAAATAATGGGAAAGAAGTAAAAGAAATAATTCAACTAGAAACATTCACTATTAACATTTTGGAACACTTTCCTCCCTTTCAGTGTTTTCATCGTATATGATGGTTGAATTTGGTCATGCCTTTTTCAACATTAGGTTAAACCAGCCTTTCCCAATGTGCATTCCCCAGGACAGCATGCCATGAAACATCGACAGGTTAATGTTATCATTTTAAAGGCTCCAAACATCCTATAGAAAACCCGTTTCACTTTGTTTCATCATAAACACAAGTATGAATATAAACAATACTACTTACAGAACAGTGGAGCACAGGTTAGCCTCCTGCCTTTCCCCCTCAAGCACTTGTCTATCATATGCTGTTCTGATACAGAAACTGCTGTTACAGTTCACTTGTGATTCCAAATTGGCTGAGATCCTAAGGTCGGTCTTTCTTTACCCTATCACACTGTCTGTTTACATAGTGCCACTATGATCTCATTCTGAGGTCCTTCTCCAAAGCCCACGTTTTGCCCTTACTCAGGCTGATCACACCGATACATATGGTCTCCATCATTATCAGTCCGAACTCTTTCCCTCTTTGTAATCTTAAAATGTTGGGTAAGCCCTAGCTGGTGTGGCTCAATGGAGACAGTGCTGGCCTGCGAACTGAAAGGTTGCTGGTTCAATTCCAGGTCAGGGCCCATGCCCCAGTTGTGGCAGGGTTCCCAGTTGGGGGTGTGCGAGAGGCAACAGATCAATGTGTCCCTTACACATTGATGTTTCTCCCTCTCCTTTTCCCTCCCTTCCCCTCTGTCTAAAAACAAATAAATAAATATAATCTAAAGTAACATGATGGATACTTTTTTAAAAATGCTGGATGAACTTCCCCCAGATTTCTCCAAGCCACACAAGCTGATATGATCATGAAAATTTAACCCTTTCATCTAGGTCCCTTGATCACTCCAAATTTTCCTGGCCTGACTCACAACCTCCTTTCCATCATCTCCACCCTCCGTTCAGCCAGTCCCAGACACAGCTTTCCTCCACCTCAAGCAGCTGGCATTCCAGCTCCACCCCGAAGTCCTGCCTGTTGGTCTGGTCTGTTGAGAGCAGAAAGATGACTCTGGCCTGTTCAGCAGTGTTGCTCTGGCTTGTCCTGTCTAAAGCACAAAGGGACTCCCAACCTGCCCCCACAACATCCACCCCACCCCCAGGGAGTTATCCTACCATAGTAGCAGTTGCCATCTTGTGTGTACAAATTACAAAGCTTTCTCTCTACCATCTTTTGTTTTAATTATCAAACCCATCAGAACTCGGAGTATCCTAATGCTGGTTTCTCTTCAGATGTGTCATTTGTCTCAGGACAGAATGCTCTTTACTTTGTGCTCTAAGACTCAAAGACAATGACTTCAAAAGCCCCTGTGGCCTCTGATAGTAATTCACTTTTCCTAGTTAAAAAGGAATCTGGAGCATGAATGTCTGTAATCTGATGCAGAATCAGTGTTACTATGAACAGTGTTACTATGAACAAGTTGATGTGGCATTCCACCCGAACACTGCTTCCCAACCAAAC